TAATGATATTGTCAGAGCTACGAGTAATTATCAGATCCACAATATGTCCTATTACGGGCACAGGTGATTTTACATGTTGAGTAAGACACAACGATTCCAATAGATCCGCAAACGCAATGGTATCTGCATTATCACTGACATCAAGATGAACATTGAAGTCACCAGATGTGCATATTGGCACTTTAGATAGCACCAATGATTTCAGGTATTCACTAAATTCAGGAAAAAAGGTACTTGAAGTAACAGGGTGAGCAGCAGAATACGGTGGTCTGTACACAAGTAAACCATCAATCATATATTCAGAAAACTCAAAAGAAGTCTTTTCACCGGCGGACAGTCGACGTACGTTGAGACTCTCTCCACATAAAAGTGCAGTACCAGCCCTTTACGATCAGTGCGAGGACAATGAAACAATCTGTACCCATTAGGAGGGCTCTTTGCAGACTGCAGCATCATTCTGGGTTAACCATGTCTCAGTAATAGCAAAAATATCAGCTTTGCAATCTTGAACCATAATCACAAAAGGATGCAGATTTATTTCTCAGAGAACGAGCGTTCAACAAACAAAAGGTCAGATTAGAGGAACGATGATTAACTTGATTAGTGTCGGGACCAGGATTCAACTTGAAAAGAATGTCTCCAATCAACGGGCGGAATGTTGCATACGCATTAGAATAATACAAACAAGGTCTTTTAGATCTTCTGTTTACCAGAACTGGATGGACAAATAATAATAAATTATAATAATAATGGTTTATTAGTACTCCACATGGTGGCTCTTCTGTACTAATTCACTAAAAAATTATACAATTGATAAAATATGCATTATGGATATAATAAAATAATATAATGGTTGAAATAGATATATGGATTAATAGATAACGTGCAACAAGATATATAATTACATAAATAATATATAAATAAAATATATATATACATAAGTTATGGTATTTTATGTAAAATTGTATAGTATTGATGATGTTAAATTTATGGACATTATAGATACGCGCGTATGAAAGTAAAACTGGCATGAGACATAAAGTATGTACAGGATATGTAAGTGGGACTAGGAACTACTTGTTGCCAATGTCATAAAATGATTTCTGCATTTACTGTCGAATACTTTGAGTTATGTACAATTTTTAATGTCTTGGGGTAGACTGTTAAATAGCATCGCAGCAGAATCTTGTAGTGTTCCAGGAACAGTCGATGGTTCAAGGCGACGCTCACAAGAAGATCTTAGAGCTCTTGCCGGTTTATATTCGACCAGTTTGAGGCAGGTTGGCCAGCAGTTTTGGTATAAAGCCTTGCATATCGTCCTAGTTATGTGATAGTCTCGACGATAACTAATGGGGAGCCATCCGAGTTTCAAAACGTCCGACATATCCGCATAGTGATTGTAAACAAAACTTGCCGCGGCAATTTGGACACGTTGGAGTCTCTGCGTCAGATACTTAGGAATGGGATGACCGACTATATCGTTGTACTCGATTAATGACACCACAAGGCTCTTTGCCAGACGTTTCCTGACATGAAAAGGGGCAAGATTCTTGAGTTTCTTGATAACAGCAAGAGTATTGTAGCACTTTGATATTTTGGAAAAAATGTCATCGTTCCGTTCAGGTTTTTGGTCGATTTCTGTGCCAAGTAATGGAGTGGTTTTGATTCGTTCTAATTTAGCACCGTTTGCATGCAGGTTGATCGGGTATTCATCAAGCTTACGCACACGAGCCAGTTGTTGAGTCGAGAACAGCATCACCTTTGTCTTATCAGTATTCAAACGAAGACTGCACTCACTTGACCGAGT